GCCCAGCCCGGACGGGCGCGCTGCGGTGAGCGGGAGGAGTAGCAGGGGGGCCGGGGGCATGGTACTTGGGTCGCCATAAATTCAGCCTCCTCATCCTCCTTGGCCGCTTGGCACGACCTCACCTCTTGAGGTGCACGCTGGTACTGACGGCACGCCCCGCCCCGCCCGGCGCGCAGGAGGCCTACGGGGCCAGTGGCAGGACATAATATAGTATGTCTCCTCCGCGCCCCCATTCATCATTCGTCTCAATGCACTGCTTGGCCTGGCCGCCGGCCGTCCCCGTCCCTCCGGGGGTCCTGCGGGGCCCGCTCGAGGACCTCTCCGAGGAGCCTCTCCAGTCGCACCACGGCCGCACCTCCAGCGGCCCCTCCAAGACCTCCATAGCCACTCGACCCCCTCTCCAGCCACCTCCGGTCTCGACAATCTGCGACATCAGCGCAAGTTGTCTGCTGTGTACGCACGCTCGCACGGCCCTCGTCTGCCTACCGGAGTAGTCCACATCATCCACATATTTAATTAGGTATAGCAAGAATTCATAAAGAGTTTTGGTTTCGACTTGGTTTTATTTTTTGAAAATACTTTAATTTCATCCCACTGTCGGGTTACTCTCTTTCCCCGCAAAGATCGCACTCCATAAACGCCGTGGTCAACTAGCTTGCCAAAATTTTGACAGCGTCCTTTTTCATTCTTAAATTTTTGCCTCTTCGCTTGCCGAAATTTTGTGCTTAAAGCGGCCAAGCGTGTGTGTGGCCTGTGCAAGCGTGGATCGGCGGATAGCTCGAATTTGTGGACCCTGCGCGTAAGGCAAGTCAGGCAATAGTTCGGAATGAAACATTCAGGTGTCGTCCCTTTCCAGGCTGGTAGAAGTTCAACAAGTCATCTACATGATAGGGGTTGGAGTCTCGCTCGCGGTACTTGAAAGTGAATCTGTAAGGCAGACCTGGCGAGGCGTCGCGCAAATTCGGATTTGGGGTTCGTGCGCAGCGTTCCGTGGGGCGGCTGCCTCTGCTGCCTCTGCACGACCTCTGACCTTGAGTAGGGTCACAATGAAGGCATGGTGTCAGACGCCCCCCCCCCCCTCTCCAGTTCCTCCCCCGGGCGGTGCCCCTAGACCTTCAACTAGCATCAGCTGCGACTGAAGCCGGAGGGATCAGCGTCGATGCGAACAACCACGATGATCTCGCATTGTTTGTTCAATTTGTTTGAGAAGGCAGAACGGTCGCCTCGCAATGCTGACACGGCGCAATCACACCGCAGAGAGCTTAGTCTGATATACATATTTCGACTGCCAATAGAAACGAAAAACATTATTTTATCGTTTGAGATCACTGCCCTTAATAGCAAAACTTTTCAATTCCTTCAAGCGGCAAAATTGACAGCAGCATAAAATAGTTGTGTTTCTTCTGTTTACAGGCGAGCACCCTGCTGCCATGCAGCACGGCAACAAGAACCGAGCGAGTGCGCTCTCCCTACACTGCATGGTGTACTCAATCATCCTGGTGATCATGAGAAGATGAGATTGGAACACCGCGCTCGGGACCTGGACCTGGACATAGGCCTGAGTGTGCGGAAGGAAATTTTAATTACCCTTGCCGAGTGAGTGTTGACTATTTCCGGCGCAGTGGTCAGTGATTTGTTTTCCTTTCCTATTTTTTGTACGAGGACTTGTGCACTCCCGACATAGAGGGAGAGACGTATTGAGATGTCATCGGCAGTGGATTATATTCGTTAAAAGGGGCCAATTCCGACGAAGTAAGATCCATTTTCGATAGTGGGGATAAAGTA